TCCCACTGTCTCGGGGCGGATCACGGACTGTCTATCAGACATATCTGCATGGATGAAGGCTCGCCACCTTCAACTAAACCTCTCTAAGACTGAACTCTTGGTCAATCCAGCCAAGCAATCTATCCACCATAAAATCAAACTACAAATTGACTCCGCAACCATCACTCCAACCAAGGTGGTGAGAAACTTGGGTGTCATGATTGATGACCAGCTGTCCTTTTCAGACCATGTTGCTGCTGTCTCTCGGTCGTGCCGCTTTTCTCTATACAACATAAGGAAAATCAGGCCCTACCTCACTCAGTACGCCACCCAGCTTCTGGTACAGGCCGTGGTTATCTCTCGCATCGACTATTGCAATGCCCTCCTAGCAGGTCTCCCAGCTTGTGCGGTGAAACCCTTACAAATGGTTCAGAATGCAGTAGCGCGTCTAGTTTTTGATCAGCCCAAAAGGCTCATGTCACCCCATTACTCAGTGACCTCCACTGGCTCCCCGTGGCTTCCAGAATCAAATTCAAGTCACTAATGCTGCACACAGAGGGACTACTGGGTCTGCACCCATCTACCTAAACTCCATAATACAAACTTACGTTCCTTCTACGCTCCTCCAACGAACGCTGCCTGGCTCTGCCATCCCTTCACACAAAGCAATCTCAGTCCCGGCTATTCTCATCTGTGACACCACGATGGTGGAACGAGCTACCACACGCCATCAGAGCAGGGGCGTCCCTCTCTAACTTCAAGAAGCTCTTGAAAACTCATCTCTTCCGAGAACACTTCCTCTAATAACACCTCTAACTCCTAACCTCTAACATGCACTTCCTGTGCTCTTCTTCTTCTATCCCCTACAATGATCATGTATTGATTGCACTTTTTGTTTTGATTGCACTTTTTGCTAACTCTTACTTCCTTCCCTAGGTATCTACCCCATTGATGTGATATGTACTGTGAGCTCTTACTAGTATTTATTGCTGCTCTTACTAGTATGTATTGTCAGTTGTAGATCTGTAGTTGATGCTCTGTTGATGCTTGTATGTTGTTCCTCAAATGTAAGTCGCTTTGGATAAAAGTGTCTGCCAAATGAGTAAATGTAAATGTAATGTTCAACTCTCACGCAGGCCCAAAAGTAGCTCTTGTTGTATTCCATGGTTTAGAGAATGTACAGCAGCTTCTGGTGAGATCACCACGACAGAAGTCAGGAAGCAACCGCACCTCAAAGGACTTTTAGAAAAATTGCTGATACACTCAGGGGGTGTGTGAGTTTACTTACTAAAACACGGAGCAATTTAGTGTTTTCAATAGGTATAGGCTCCCTTGGACACAAGCTGTAAAGTCACAGCTGGGTTTTGAACCCAAGATTCCAGTTTACAAGAGGGGCCCTTTTACCATGTAAGCTACAGCACCCGCCACCAGGAAGAACATGTGTCAGGCTCACACCACCATCCTCTCGGTTAACAGCAGAGCGCGCTAACCAATTGCGCCACAGAGATGTATGCTTGTGCACACATCCAGTGTACTTGTCTGCCCATCTCGGATCAAGATGCACGAAACCCATGTCCTTTGAATGCAATTCGTGTGTCCCCTTCATTGGGACAAAATCCAGCAGATACTGGTCCAGCCTACCTCTAAAAAGAAACAATTTTCATTGTGCTGTAGAGGTGCTTACCAACCCATCAACGCAACAGTTTGTTTTTTGACTTTTTGCACTGCTGTGCTCTCCCAGAGGACATTTGTTCCTTGGTGAGGTGGCTATAATAGGAACCAAGGCTAGTATTTTCTACCAATGATTTTTGGGGAAAATTGGTCTCGACCGCGATAGCCCATTAAAGCCACTCTGTATTCCAAGGTGCAGAAGAATCATACTCATACCTGCCACGGACTCCAGTCCCTCATGAGAGACAGTAAAATCATTTTCTTTGCTCAGATTGGAAGGAAGGGAAATACTTTGATTCATTTGGAGAATGAAGCTCATACACACGTCATCTGACTGAAAACTTTTTCAACGTTCACAAACCTTTGTGGACCTTTCCATAAACCTTTGTGGACCTTGACTGAAAGAATATTTCCAAGTGAGCTCCCATTGAAAAAAATAGTTCAAGTGGAAACACTGAAGATGATGTGCCATTTCTAATATTACACACTTTTTGGATTGGAAGAGTTCAAACCAGGGACGGAGCTAGACTCTCAGCACAAGGGCAGCTCTTCATCAAGGGGCCCACCTGCTATCAAGTCATTTATACGAAGTTTACATGACCTCAGACTCACTCCAAAACTCTGCTCTGGCGGCTACCATTGTAGTCAATGCTTGTGCTCACACCAGAAGTGGCTCTTAGCTCCGCTCCAGAGAATACGCAGCCAGTGTATTTTTGACAGAAGCAGCACAGAGCAGATGAACCCGGCAGGAAGTCAGACACAGAAACGGCATAGAGAAGCCGGTCAATTTTCTAAATAAAATACCCTGTGCAGACCCAATCGTATATAAACAATAAACACAGTTAAAACTGACAAAAAAATAAGCAAATTAACTATGTAGCCTACTTAATCATAGTAGAAGCACAGAAACCAAGCACTAATCACCAAAATCTAAACATGTCAGCAAAGTCAGGCAGGTAAAACGCTCTTATTCTGAAATGCTCTCTGTGGGAAATGCACCCGTGCAGACAACGGGTCACAGAGAGCTGTGAAGAATGTAGGAGAAGCAAAAAAAAGTACTTACAATTGCTATATATGTCAGAGGTCGCACGCCTCTGGAGCAACTAGAGGTTAAGTGTCTTGCTCAGGGACACAATGGTGGATGTCTCACAGTGGGAACTGAACCCAGGTCTCCCAAAACCAAAGTCAAGCATCTTATCCATGCGCCATCACCACACCATCACCCCCGAGTAGTCTACGTCCGTCCCTCAGAATTCCCATGATGCATGACGGTGAAGGGAGTTTTGTTGAAATTTGCTAATAAGTTTCCCATTTGTTTGAAATACAAATTTTACTTTATGTTTTATGTTCTTTAAAATGTGTCTGCTTAGAATATAATGTTTTTTGTTGGTAAATGTCAGTCTTGTGGTGTTTAACCATTGAAACCAGGATTGAAGTGACGGTTTTATTTGATAAGAACAGCTGTTTTGTTTTTATTGTTGGAAGCAAACTGCACGCACACAAGTCTTGTTGGCTCGAAGTGTGGAGGAACAGTGTCAGGAATTGTCATTACGCATAACCTTTATGTAGTTGGTCTTTTTATCAGTTCACTAACTCTCCCTTCATTTCAGATTCCGGTTCTTCTTCCTGCCTGGTCATCACTGCACTCCCTTTACCTGGTTATCCCCACCATTGCTCATTTCCCCCGGTTTGCCTCAGTATCTACACCTTCCCCTTTAAACGTGCACCCTGCCAGATTGTCTAGTATCTGTTTGCTTGTTTCCCAGGCCTCCCCTGGGCCAGGCTTTTTCAAATGATAATTTGACCAAATGATTAGCAGTACTTATTACAGTCCTGCGACAGCCACAGATACTGGATTTTTTTTCATTCATGTGTAAGAGCATTTGATCTATTAATTGCTGTCAGGAGGTAAAGAGACTATCAACACATTTAACCCAAATATGCTTCTTAAATAAATTGCCTACTCCAGCTTCAATGACAAGCTGGAGTGTTGTTTTTTTTTTGAACTCTGAACTGTTTACTCAGGCCGTCATGCTGTTTGCTTCAGTTTAGATAGGCAGGTGAGAATAATGACATTTGAACCAAAGAACCACAACCAAATGCTTCAAAATGTCTCTGTCCCCTTTCAAGTGAACAGCAGTGTGGTTATTTAGTAGTGAGAATGTAACCCAAACCGACTACAGGAAACAACCCCAAAATGTGCATTTTAATGGTTACAAAGGAGACAGATGTTGACATCTGATAGCCAGCAGTTGCTCATGCTTGAAAAGCCAAGCATAACACAGTGAACTGAGGTCAGTCTGATCTGATGCTCATTTTCTTTATGTGTTCTAACTGGTTTGAACAGCAAAGGCGGTAAATCACAGCAGAGAGCAAAGGTCCATACCGTGAGCTGAAGTTACACAGACTGGAATTGGGTTTGTTTTTACTGCCTTTTCCCAACAAAACAAATGACGATTCCCGTTGAGTCTTTTATTGTCTGAAATGTTTCAGTCCAAGAACTTACCAAATACATTGCTCAGAGTTCACCAAAGATATCATGATTGAGAAATGCACCTGTTACCATGGAGATCTGCAAAGTTCCCAACACTATTCTCAACATCAGTCTGTGGTGTGCATCTTCCATATTTACAGCATGTTAAAAGTCCAAATTCAATAAGTTTTTCATTTTCAAATGTGCATCAAATCGCTTTCATCAAATATCAATAACAATAGCCTAGATCAAAATAAGACACTCCCAATAGGAGCGCTTTGAGGATATGTGGGTTACGGACATGTTATGGGTTCATAGGAGGGATACTGCTTGTTTGCGCTCACAGATGTGGGCCTGCCAAACACATTGCATATGTCAACATTCCTTTTCAGGAATCAATAGTGACTCTTTGTCCTTACTAACTGTAATGTGGGAGAGCAAAGCTTAACATTTGCGTCCCTGCAGGATTGCTGGGAAGTTATTGAGACCAAATATGTTTTTCTTCTGCAGTGAAAATACTGTTCACACTCAGTGTACAGCTTCTCTGTGAAGGGTTTTTACATTCAGGTAATCGTTTTGATATCATGCCCCAGTTATGATGACAGGTCAAAACTAACTGGCTGGGTGATGCAGGCACACTAATAAAATATTAATTCATATGTTACACTCCCTGCAATGCCTTTTGCCTGATGTCAGCTGGGATTGGCTCCAGCGACCCTGTACACAGGATAAGCAGTTGACGATGGATGGAAGGATGTTACACATCTTAATGAATACTGGACAGGTTTGTTTTAAATTACAGTATGCAAGTACTAAGCTGTGTAGACTAAGGCTGCTAACTTCCCTCTCTTAATAAAATTTTCTTGACTGAACTTACCATTTGTAGCATGGTGTTCCAGACTCGTAGTGACATCCGAGTTCACTTTTTGTCCACATCGTCCTAAACCCTGGATGAGCTGTTGCAAAGGTAATTCAGCCTCCGTGCTCGGGTAGCACCTTTGGCCACTGGAGCACCTTGGTGTGTAGACGCCACAAAGCTCCCCCTCCTGCCTGGCACACACTGGACAGCAGCCGCAGCCCGGCTCCCTCACTATTTCTGTACATACTGCTGGGACTCTGGGACACGCATCTTGATGCTCCGCGGTACAGCTTGGGCATCGAAAAGCCAAATCCCCAAGTAAGATTCCAGGCAAGGTAAAGTATGCAAACAGCAACCCATAAGTCAAGTATGTGACCATTCTATCGTTTTCTAGGTTTATTAGTGACTACTGGAAGTCAAAGTGAACCTTGGAAGATAACAGAATGAACCTCAGATCCTCAGTGAACTGTGTGTGGGTAAATAATGTGATGCAACTGACAGGGTCCTATGTGCACTCATATTACTGCGTGACTGTATATGAAAAACAACAGAGCCCATTACTTTAACTAGGGCTGAACGATTTTGAAAAAAGTGATTTTTTTTTTTTAACCAAATTTCAATTCAAGATTCCGATTTAATACGCAATTAATTTTTAAGCTCTTTGCCTTCTGTATTATTCAAAACGGACAAGCAGTAAATCAGTGTATAGCATGACCAACACAGTATTAGATAGATTAAACACTGTTTTTTCTTGTAGGTCAGGCCTGTGTTATTATGAAATTAGGTGATGCATGAATTGCATGAATTATTATTATGAGCAATGGTGGAGAAGAAGTATCAAATTTTCATAATATGAGAAAGACAGTTTGAGAGTCAAGTCATGGCATTAAATAATATGATATATCATCAGGTCGGTCCACCTACAGACGACAAGGAAAACTAAGTTCTCCACAGCGCTCAATACAAAACCCACAGTTCAATCCCAACAATTAATGCGTCCTCATCTCAGTTCAAATCCCCCAGGTCAGCGGCGCACTGGCTGTAACCAGGCTGTAACTCTGGACAAACTGGGCCTCTTTCCGACTTGTGCGTTTTGTTTGAAATGCCGTTTCACAGATATTTCCTGAGCTGACTGGTTGATGTGTGTGTGTGACGCCGGCGCCAATCGCTTACCTTACTTCACGTGTCTTTCTGTGTATATTCCAGCATTGAAATATTTATTTTTTTGTTTACATATGTAAGGGCTTTACACATTTGTACACAATTTCATTTATTACAACCATATATTTTGTAATTTGAATACTCTAATTCAATATAGATTAACAAAGAGATACAAGGTGGACAGCATTGTTTCCCTCTTTATTTTATTTCACCACAGTGCCAAACTGGAATAACAAACTCCCTCACTTCCCTAACTCCCTTGTAAAACAAACTCCTACTCAAAGCAACTCCATTTTATGTAATCCAATTATTTTGCCAAGTGGTGGTAATCAACATATGGGCTGTTTTACCAAGTGAACCTGGAAAACCCAAGTGATTCTGGCCCGGCTGCCCCTTAGCCTCAAACTTGTACCCCACCTTCATTGCTGTGTTTCTTTACTCTGCTTTAGTTTTTCAGTTCACCTTGATGTTCCTTAATTTTGTCATTCGTTCCACAGTATGATTAAAAGTGTCTTCATCTTCCTATATTATTTCATGTTTATATGACAGTTACTAGCTACATCAAAGAAAACTGTGTCAGAAAATGGCCACAAGCAAAAGAAGGGAAGCACATTGTGTAAGATATGTCCGGAATGTTAAATTTAACAGCGTCGTCTATGTATTGTGTTGCAGAGATAACTTGCTAGCCCCGTGCCTCGAGAGGCAATAGTCTGAGTAAAGCTCAGACCTACGTTACACAAGCTCTCGGGAAAAGGTCTGCCAAGGTAGCTGCGTAGCTGACTGCGCTAACTTATCAGCAGTTATGACTGATGGCCATTTCAGATAGGAAGCGATTGCGCATAGTTAGGGCTGGGTAATAAAACAATAATGATAATTATCAATAATTTTCCTCAATATCAATATAATAAATGTTCAATATATCGTTAATAAATAAATAGGGATAGGGATAAATTCATTTGAATCACGAACAAATTGGCACTTAATTTTTCTGTTAAAATATTTATTTTGTTGAGGAAAAGGGACTCATAATCATATTTGTGTTTATCATAATAGTTTTCAATGTTCTACCTTAGGCTTGTGAAGTGATACACTGTTTGGCATCAAGTGTTTTTCCCATTCTGACCATAAAGAAAAGTTGAACCACATAATAAACCATCTGGTTTCTTCAATTTTCAGTCAGGAGCAAAAATCAGCCTTTAAACTTGAAAGAAATAATGATTTGACATGTGATAATTATCGATATCGAATGAAATGAAATGATTTTATCGTGATAACATTTTTGGCCATATCACCCAGCCCTAAGCATAGTCTATTAAGATAAACACATAAAAGAATAGCTTCTTATTGTATATATCAGCGTTTCCCATCTGTTCATTTATTTGCGGCGGCCGCCACAATATCAACGCTGACCGCCACAGATTGATGTTCAATTTTTTTTTACTAAGCCTATTTAAAATCACATTTGATTGTAGAGCGCCATAACACATTAGCACAGCACATCCTCTCACCCCCTACCTTATGAACACAGCTGCATAAATCACAACACGCCAATGTCGGAGACCCAGCTTAGGCTAGCACGCTGTATGTAGCTGGTAACGTTAGTCAATATCGACTGCAGGCATACAGGTCTTTATTTTCCAGATCATTCCTATACAAATTCATCTTCTGCTTACCAAAATGCCATGAAAACAACATAGATTATTCATGAAGATATCTGTAATTTTACAGCATTTAACGGCTCTTGCCTCCCGGCTTTTCTCCGTCTCAGCTCTGCCTCTGTACTCATTTTCTCGGCAACACACACTCACACACTGACTGAACACTGTGCGATGTGTGTGCATGCGACCAGTCCTGTGTGATGATAGAGACGGGGGGTGGGGGGGGGGGCGTATGGTCTACAGGTAAAGGACTGTGGCTGCCCTGTGACAGATTAAACTTTTTTATTCTCGTTTGACAAAAGTCTGCACGTTGTATTTGGCGTTCACACCCTCGCACAGTGGCACCGCTGGAGAGAGTGAGAAGTGCCTGTTGTGTGGATTCTCCTGCTACTAAAAAAGCTTGTGAAAAAGCCAGTCCGTAACTCTAAATATCCACAACATCTTCTTGTTTACCGTGTTGTCGGTAAAGACAATAGGCTTCACGAATGGACCAATGAGCAAACACCATGGGTGTTGTAGTGTCGTAGTGTTGTTATTTCAGATGCCTGTTGACAAGACTACAATTTTTTAACATGCCAAAGTGGCTAGTGGGAGTGACTGCGTAACCCGGCTGAAATCCACCTGCATTTGGCAGGTTGGCCAGTGGCGCCCCCAGAAAATTTTCCTAGGGGTGGCCAGATGGGGACACTGAAAATCCTGGGGTGGCAGACTAAACCAAGAGCCATTACTGAATTTCAGGAATTCTATTATGCAGTATATAGACTAGTTGAATACTGCGTAAAAAGATGATGTAATTAATGTTTATTATTATTTCCACAGATGCATTCAATGAGCGTCTGCGAAGCAGAGGAGAACTCTGAGGAGGACCACATGCCTACACACAATGGGAGGCTCCATCTGTCTCTGACCACAGCTATGCTTCAAAATCACCACTTAACCTGAAGGCCCCTCCATCTGATATGGGAACACAATGAATGGAGGCCAGATGTGTTGTATATACAGTATCTCTACTGAGGAACAACCACCTTTGTCACTTTTTTATGAACCCACACAGTGTGGTTGTTATTCCTCATATCAGGTGATAGAGTGATTAGACTGATGCTGACTAATGTTATACTTAATATACACCTACCAAACCTTACCTTTTGCATATGCACCCCATATAAGTTACTTAGCCTGTATATGTCACAAACACATGTCAATATACTTAGGTTTGTACATGTATTGCATTTTTATGTTAACAACATGAACGTTGCAAGATTTCATCATGAAGCCGTCAATCAATCAATGTGAGCTCTACTGACCACCCAACATACTCTGACAACAGCTGTGCAGAGAGGAAACAAGAGGGAATACAAAAGGAAAATTTAAGCAAGTTATTGTTATTTGAAAACACTGATGCATTAAACTGCATTAACAGGTTGAGGGAAAATCAAAGGTTAGACATCATCATGGCTGAAAATGTTTGGCAAGCTGCTAAATGTGGTCATACTTCCAGTCACAACATTTGCACTAAATATAGTACAAAAAAGTATAGTTTAGGATGATTGTTGATTGCACAGGATTCACTTTTACCACATAATTACTTCTCAAAATAGAATAGACACTGCATAATCTTTATGTAAACTAACATTTAAAAAGCTATGTCTTCAATCTTACAAACATTTGAAAACCATAAATTCAGACACTTTCATCAGATTAATCTTTTACAGAACATAATAGTAGATGGCAACATTTTGCATTTATCTTGCCGGCAGTTTAAACTACTGTAGTTTTAAATATTTCTCTTAAAACTTAAGAACAGTGATGTCTGCTTTTGTTGATGTAGACATCCCACATTAACGCTGTATATAAATCACAGATAAAAATAAAGAGACACAATGTTCTCTGACATGAATATAAATTGATGACCTAATTATTATTACAATTATTGACTGATTTATAATATAGTAATATTGCAGGAAGTTTGCTCATTAATAATGTGTGGGTGGCCCTTTGTGGGTTTGTTTGTTAATGATGCAGTTCAAAGTACTGTACAGGATTAATTTCTTCAAAGCACGTCTGTTACACATTTATCCCACTGTGACAAATGTCATGCCTCTTCCTGCACCCTAACCCATATGTTCTACTCTTGCCCATTATTATTTTCCTTTTGGCAGAAGTTTTTTGATACCATATCAATAATACTCTCAATAACTGTTCAAATCTCTGCCCATATTGCCATATTTGGGTGTCCAGAAGATTATAAAAGATACAATTTGAACCAATTAAATATGTTTGCTTTCACTTCCTTATTTGCAAGATGATGTCTTCTTTTCCATTGGCAATCCACAAAAAACTCCTTCCAGCACTCAGCTTGTTTCTTTTTGTGTGTTGATTTATTGAGATGCAAAAAACAATATTTAAAACAATTACTTTTTCCCCCTTAACTGTTGTTCTGTCACGATTCTGTCTGCTTTGAGTTCTGCTGTCTTGATCCTTGTTTTGGCTGATTTTATTTGATTGTGATTGTTCTGCTTTAGTCTGCTCTGTTTTAGATATCCTGCTCTGCTTTGTCTGTGGTTTCTCAATCTGCGTGCTTGTCTTGTTGTTCTGTTCTTTGTCTGTCTGTGTTGGATATGAACCTTGG